AAGGAAAAAAAATTCTACTACGTGATTATTAAATATTTCTAAATATATTTTTATTAAATATTCCACAAATATTTAATTTGTGTAATATACAAATTATGTTTAAAAAGTTCTGTCTCCAAAATTAACCTAAATTGAAGTGTTTCATGTCGTTTATAACTTTTAATTACGACTACACAGTGACATATATTATTAAATTTCGCCGATTTTTAATTCAAGATATTTTACAATGTTTCAGATATATTAAATCTGATTTCACAAAATACAGGTTCATACAAAAGTTCTGTCGTTCTTTCATTGAAAATGTTTCTTTAAAAGACATTTAGATAAGAGAAACATGTCTCATGAAAAATCAAGTAAACAATGCGAAAATTAATAGAAATTTCTTCGATTCTTTCTAAATTGTTAATAAACGGTTCGTAATAAATACATCCCTTTGTTACATATTTTGGTGTAAAGACGTAACGTGTGTATAACACAATTTTCCATAGAACGTTCAAGAAATTGAGAACAAATACGTTATGAAGAATGTTATCGTTAGATAAGCCGTACAAGTAGATACACCTGTTTAAAGTGTGAATTGTAGGAACATGTGATTAACCACGACTTTACACATTTCCTATATAACCTTAAGGAACTGTAATTGTAAGTAAATATAGAAATCAATAGTGAATTAAACATTTGTAAATTGAAATGTTGGCATAGACACATCTAAATAATTTTTGACAGCAAATTCTTCACATTACTGTAGCCTAAATTTGAATCAGCTCGTTCTGCTTAGTCGCACGTTTAAAAAATCTTATAAACTAAGATGAAACAATCTTGAAAGTTTAGAATCTGAAACCATTCAAATTTTTCATAAGTATCCAATAAATACATTATAACGTCCTTTTGCGACTACACTTTTTATGCCATTTTGGGTCTCGTTGCGGCATTTCATTATTTTCTAACGTTGATCAAACAGAAGTCATTACAAGTAAATGTCGCCAACGTAGTCTGTAGGCAAATTAACATTCTCAGTACTCAATTGCTGATAAGATTAACCAAGATACACTCACAACTTATCGATGTAATTAACAAAATATCCTACGGAACGTGTCATTATCAATTAACTGTGAATCTTGAGAGATGCATTTGTACTTTCTAAATATCTGAAAGAATCAGTTTAACAGAAAATGTTTAAGGAGCTAATGCAATAATATATTATTTATAATTTATTGCAGCTGTGAATATAAAATATAACATGCTTTTCAATTTTTTAAATTTGTTTATAAAAATGCAACGTTGTGTAAACATCTGCAACTACGTACATGGATGTCGGAATAATATCATATGATGAAATAATCAAATTTCCGTAATGATTTGCATAATAAATTGGATGTCAAACTATTTTAGATTTAAAAATATCTTTTCGAAATAGAAATAAGGTGAAAGTAGAATACAAAAGAGAAATGTCACATTATCAAATAAATCAAAAGATTTTCTGTGCATAGAACAATTTCGAAATACAATCTAGTATTTAAGCAACCCTAATTGATTTATCAAAAATGTAGACAATCCAATATTAAAGTGTCTGTGATTTGCATTTTTAGCCTATTAACACAATTCGATAAGTGAATTAGGCTATTGAAGCTATCAGTATCAAAATCAATGTTTCACGCCAAGATAATACCAGAGACACGATGTCGACACTGTATTTATCAGACTATTTTGTTAGAATTGTTACATCATTTTTTTAAGCCGTGCATAAAAGAGACGATACTGTATTCAGTTAATAACATAAATGACTGGCAACTTCCTCGAAGTAATTATTCGTGTAAACCATAATCGAAATAGAATTTAACTATGGCAATTATGTAAATGTGTATGTGTTTCTTTGCTATTAGCAATTCTTGTATTTCACTTCTTACACAAATTCCGGAAATTCCGTTAATTGATATGGATGATGATTACAACTTATGATCGCTTGTTTCTAGAAGTGCAACAACTACCAATCGTAACGATTTAGCGTTACTACAACTACTGAGGCCTTTTCCATAAAAATGTATCTAATCCTACGTCATGTTGCAGATATTATGTAAAAACAGAGGTAATAAACAATTCAATAAAGTTAACGAATAATTTCCGGCCATACTGATTTTTTATCAAAAAGACAGGCAGTACAAGATTACGTAAAGATTACCTAATCTTTATTGAATTATTGATATTCTTAATATATAGATTGCGGATTTGTATGCATATTTTTAAAATGCAAAAAGACGTAAAAATTAAAAAAGTCTTATGGCACATTTATTGTTTTTTTACGATTAATCTTTTAGTTGAAAAAGGAAACTTCCCCTTAATTCTGATTTTTATAAAATGACGTACGAAAATTAGAAATTGCATAAATATCCACGGTCGACTGATAATAAAACAAAATTGTAACAATTGGTAGTTATTACTGACAAAGTAGTAATCAACGAAATATATATTTTTCCATCGATTTATAACATCATGCAATTATAATTATATCTTGTTTTATAAACGTCATTATACTTCTTCAATAAAAATCGATTCAAAGAATCCTTCTGATTTAATCTGACATTAGTAACTATGCGACGCGTAGATGAACAGAATGGAATGAAGTTATGTCACGAGGATCACAGCGTGATTCTGCACCTATGGATCGATAGAGATTTGATAAAAAAAAAGTTACTGCAATTTAAGAATCATTAGCTTAAAGTTTAAAGTCGAAATCAACTCCGACAATCTGAAACTATAGAATCACGTATTATTTACAGAACAGAATATCGAAGAATATTTAAAAAAAAGGTTAATACATTATTACAGACTCTATAAATATAAATTGTTATTTCTTTTAAACGCGATGGAGGTACGTCAATAAAATTGATACAAATCTCGGTATCACAAATGATACTAATTTTTCTTAACAAATCAATGTAAGAAGTAATTTAATTTACTTAATGAAATAAAAATTAAGAAAACTGTAAATTTATCATTTGTTTTTATCTCTTTTAACTAACCGTGTATGGTGTACACAATGATGTATTAGGATAAAAATTAATGCTTATGTCTAGTCAAATAATTGCGTCACCCATATATGGGCATCAGTCAAGAAATTAAAACAAGAATAAATGTTCTAAATTTCGAAGAGATTCAATTTGTCAAACACAATCAGTAATTGGTCCATATACCCTTTAAAATGTACTGTAAGATTAGACATTGACTAACTCACAAAAAGAAGTAGGTATTATTAACATGTTGTAAATTAGTGTCATAAAGGAATTACGTAAAAATCAACGAAAAAAATCTTGATGTTCTTGGACAAATACGTAGTTCGTTCTCTTTTGCTTACTTTAGACTCTAGGCATAGCGCGATGACGTGAATAAAACGCAAATAACATGAATAACGTAAATTGAAAATAGTCTTTATCTTGGTTAATGACATTTCAACTATCTAATCTATTTTGATTTTTGGAAACGTTGTAATGTGTACACATTTTTAATATACACCACTACTTAAAAGTATTAAAATAAATATTATAGTTCCCGCGAAACGAATTGCAAGTAGAAGTTCAAAATCTTTTATAATTATAGTTAGCACATTTATTAAAAAGATACTAAAGCATGTGGTACTATATATCATTTCTAATATAAATATTGACTGTTCTAAACAGTTAAATATTTTTGAATCGGTGGTGTATTCAGAAATACATGTTATTATATATTCTGGAGGCATTCTAAAAATGTAATAGGAAAGTGACACATCAAGCAGATATTATAAATATTAACATACAATTTTAAATACAGGAAATTATCCTTCTATGTACACGAGTACGAAATCAGTATATTCTGAATATTTAAAATAAACAACATTTTCATGACTAATTTAGAAAATTAAACTACTTTAGACGTTTTATTACTTTTTTATTTCCTATGGATCTGAATCATTAAAGTGAACACCTGACTACTGCTATATACGAAGGAAAAAACAATCTGGGTTTCGTGGTCCGTAGATTTATGGATAATTGACCTTATCGAAAATTTGCAATAAGTTCTAAAAATAACAATATATCAATATAATACAGCAACTGCCAGTGGATTAACGACTTCATAAGCATTTCATTTTCTATCGATTAAATATTAAATAAATCTGTGCATATTTGGATTTGCTCCTAAGTTAATGCTTAAATAATTGCTTCCATTTACAAATTAAAGGTTAAATATATTTATTATACAGATTATTCTAGGTAAATAAATATATTAAGAGCGAAGGAAAATATATTAAAAAATATTGATATTAAAACAATATGTGTTCACAAAAATAACAGTGCTCCAAAATGATATTTATAAATATATTTTCGATAATTATTAATCATTCCACACTATCATTATAAAGAATTGTTAATTCTTAATTTTCAGAATTTATTTTACTTCACTTTTGTATCGACTTTTACTTACCGTCAAACCGACCGTTGATGAAATTATCAATTTTTATCTATATTTGACATTCTGCTGAACAGCTGTTGCAAGACAGGTATTCACGATCTGATCAGACACTCGAGACGCATACAGCGATTCGCATTAATATTCGGACACGATATTATTAGAAGAATTATTGCTCCTTTTTATTGTTTATGATAGTATTATTGAATCATTTGTTTTCTCATATAATAAAATACTTCTTATAGTAAGTAGAAACATAAATTTTGTTTACTTATCGCGCATGTTCTTCTGTATAATAAGCGATAAACAAGATTGTGACAAAATTTAACGTCGCAAAAATATTCGGACAGTGAATGAATTAAATTAATTTTATATAAAATGAAAATCTTCTTAATCATGTTATCATAATATTAATATTTTGTCGATTGACTCTTTTGTTTTATTACTTCTTGTTATCGCTTGGGCATGTTACAGATGATTTTATTTAAATACTCCGTCGAAATCCGTTTCCATTCGTTTAACAAACGTTGTTTTATCTCTGTTGTTGTCCTTGTAGGCGTTGTACGAATTTTGTGGTCCAATTGATCCCATAAATTTTCAATCGGATTTAAATCGGGCAATTGTGGCAACAATACTTTTTGACAATTGTATAATAAATATTCCTGTACAATTCTGGCCTTGTGTTTAGGATCATTGTCCTGATAAAACTTAAAACTGTACGTATACCCATATTTATAGCACTTGTAATTAAATTTTTTTTTTAAAATGTCCAAATACTTCATTTTGTCGATAATACCATCGATAAAAACTAGTTCACCTACTCCTACGAACGAGATTTAACCCCACACTATTACATACCTACCACCGTGTTTCACAGTCGGTCTTAAATTTGAAATGTTTAATTCTGTATTTACTTTGCATCACACCATTTTTTGATTGTCGGATCCGTAAAGATTAAATTTGCTTTCATCCGAAAATATTACATCATTCCACCACCAGTTGTCTGTAAAAATATTCTTTTGCAAAGCTCAATCTTTTCTTGCAATTTGCTTCATTTATGTATAGCTTTCTACGAGGAACTCTTTCGTTGAAATCATAAGTTTTTAATACCCGTCGCACTGTGTCGGGGTGTACCTTCTTTTCAGATTCTACAAACAACTCCTTTGTTAATTTTGTAGCATTTTGTCCAGAATCTGTCTTTATTTTTCTTATTATCTTGCGTTGGTCGCGAGAGTCTAATTATTTTGGACCACCTTTCTGAGGAATTTAATCGATTCAATCCTCACGAATGTATCGACGTATAATATTTGCCACGCTACTCTTGCTTATATTTATTAATTTGGCTATATCTCTGAATGATTTTCCCTTTTCCTTGTAATAATTAACCAATTGTCGGATTTCAAAAGACGTATTTCTTCCTTTTCATCCCATTTTCATAAGTAAAACATCTGATATCACCAATACTTTCTGTGGAACCGAGTTCTCACAACGAATTAGATGTTGTGTTTAAAAACAATGTGTGTTAGCAACGTCGTCAATGTAGTACGGTATCTTACTCTGGCATCTAAGATATTGTGTCCGAATATTTTTGCGACGTTAAATTTTGTCACAATCTTGTTTATCGCTTATTATACAAAAGAACATGTACAATAAATAAACAAAATTTATGTTTCTACTTACTTTAAGAAGTGCTTTATTATATGAGAAAACAATTGATTCAAGAATAAAAAGGAGCAATAATTCTTCTACTAATATCGTGTCCGAATATTAATGCGGGTCACTGTAAATACAACAATTTTGAACGTGTGGAAAATTGTTAACAAAGTATTCATACACCTTTTAAAGCGGAATAACTTTTTTATAATTGAGCTAAGCAATCTAAATTGTTTTGGGATGTTAAAGGGATTAGTTTACTAGACAATGGCTAAAAAAATTTGTTTGGCGAAATTGCAATTCGTTGACATGGTAAAAGAATCATAAAACAATGTTTTTTCAACTTTTTTATCTGAGTCAATAACGAAAATTGAAAAAATGCATTTTGTAGATTTAGATTTTTCTTTTAAATTAAATTATTTCGCATAACGTTATAAATAAATATAAAACAACTGTATTATTTGGTAAGCACAAGTCAATATATTTATTTTCCTGAGGACTATTAGATATTACAAGTGAACGTGAGGAGAAAATTCCATCTTCGGAATTTTCACAATAATTATCACTGAATATTGATATGGTGGAAAGTCAGCGTTCTTTACTACGCGCCAGAAGGATGTCACGTTGTTGGGTAATTCTCGATAAATGCACGTTTAAATGCTTAACTCCTACAGTTTCGACATTTAACACCAGCAAGTTAAGTAAGCTAATTCATCGTGCACGTTGAATCAGCATCCGTTGGAAAAACATACTGCATTGATTAGAGTGAATCTTTTTGCACAAGTAATTGCGATAAGTGCTGCAAGTCATATTGCAGCTAATAATAAGAATGTAAATAAAATAAAATCGATTATTATTCATATAGCACTAGAAGAACCGATTAATCAAAACGATTCATTTCTTGTGTATACAAGGTTACAAGTTAATTAAACCGTATATTTATCGCAACTCGCAAGGTAGAAGATTTTCATATTTTCAATCATTACAAGGCAATAAACATAGAATGCAAAATGTAGAATGTAAAAAACTTTTATATTCTCAATCATTGATACACAGAATGTAAAATATAAAAGACTTGTATATTCGTAATCATTTTTAAATAATCACAGGATATGGAATATAAAAGAATTTCATATTTTCAATCATTACAGCAATCATACTTAAACATAAAAACAGAATATAGTAAATTAATTCTATGTGATAAGAGTGTACAATTTTCTGTCTAGGTCAAAGTGGATCCAGTTCTCTACTGAACAGCTTTGCTGATCGGAAAACTACGAAAATTTTGGACGCCGGACAAATTTATGGATGATAAAACCAATATTGACAGTAGTGTAGATTCGCATGGACTGGAAGAACAAAGAGGGGCAGGAAAGAACGAAACGGTTTGCCGGCAAGTGACAGTGTCTCATCGGCCATAACCGAGGCAAGAAGCAAGGAAAACCGTCTATTGGTATATAATGTATCGGTTTGTGAAGCAGTGAATGGAAACGCAAGTAATTAAACTATACCTTGCGCGCGATATATGATAGCGATAGCGAAATACGTTTCACGGGCAACCGACTTCTCTGTTGAAGTCTCATCAAATCGTTGATCAATCTGAATCTTATGTGGGACGATAGTGTCAACAAAGATGCCGAACGTTAAAGATATTAAGATGAAAGCACCTGACGGCGGATGGGGATGGTTTGTGTGCCTTGGTACCAGCTTAATAACGGTAATTATTATTTTTTTAATGAACGACAACAAATGAGGCTAAATAACCGTTTATTGGATGAATATTGGATATTTATTAGGAATCTGTGGATGGAGTAATATTTGTTTACACTATGAACTGGTTATTAGTTGTACATATTTACTATTTTGTTGAAAAAATATTGGAAGCAATTTACATTTACTTCTATGGAAACTTCTTCGAAATCTCAGATATTGTACAATTTCATAACGAGAACAATTTCAAGAACTAATTCAAAGGAATTGTAAAAGTTCATTGCAGAAGAATATGACAATGTTTGTTTACAATAATATCTTTCTTTTTATTGAAAATATTAAACATCTAACTGCGAATCGTTACTATCAGGTCGATCTATATTCGAAGGTAGAAATAGGTTATTCAAAGCCATGGCCGTTTATTATTCTTGCATTTGTTTGCACGTATTTTCGAGGTATACCTTGCATTCACAATCTTATGCAACTCTATCAAATCTAGAAGTTTTGTATTTATTAAATTGTTACAATTGTAATAATTGATGTATTAATCGATTCTTTACGATAAATATTCCAAGAACATGAATATTTAATCAACTATACAAGAGACATGAATTTTTAATCAACTCTATAAGAAACATGAAGTTTTAATCAACTGTATAAAACAAAAATTAAAAGAATCATTTCAAATTCGAAAACCATTTGGAATAAATTAACTTACATGAACACGAAATAAAATACTTAAAAATAATTTCTTTTCCAAAGGTGTTTTTTAATAAAATTTTTAATAAAATAAAACATACATTATTACAGGAACATGTACATTATTAACAAAGAAAATTTATACAATTATATATTTTCATTAAAAAAACGGTCTCAGAGAATCGTTTTTATTAAATTAAGTCAGAATTCGATTGCATCATTTCTTAAAAAATGCCATGTCTAGATCTGTAGTATATAAATAAACGAGACATAATTATTTGTCATTGTTTAATTCCAGTAACGTCTTTACATTTCGTAGCTATGATAAGAGATTTTTACGTGTCGACAAATCCACCTAATCTTATTAACCCAACACGTGTTATCACAACCAGTTGATTCAATATCTGTGCCTACAAAGTAAACTTTTTAATCATGCTTCTATCTTGAAGAAGGATATAAAACATCCACTTTCGTTTAATGAAGAAAATCGTTAATTTTACAATCAGCTGTAGATGAAATTGCAATAATTCTCTATTATTTTAAGCTTTCTTTAAGATCCTTGGATCCTTCATTTGGTCTCCTTTTTCATGAACCTTTGAAGAAATTAAATATCGACTCGACAGGTGCGTCGTTAATAATGAGCATCTTGGACGCCATTGTTAATTTTTCAGGTATGAAGCTGCTTTTTTACAATTTAAATAATGATGTTTAAGGCAACAATTCAATTTCGCTAAATTGAACCGAAATAAACAAAATCCTTTTACAAGCAATCTAATCTTTTTTGTTTGTCTAGAAAATCTTCTATTTCGAAATACAACTTATCATAATTGAAAACGAAAAATATATATATTTTTTATGTTAAGGGTTCTACTATACGTCAAAGACTTTTAAATATTGCACTATAGATACAGTCTATTAGTAACTATAGTATTTTTCGATAAGAGATTTTTAAAATACTCTTGTACTCATATTAACCATTCACTTTGATCGTATATTACTTCAGATTTTGGATGCCTCATTTCGGAAAACAAATTACAACAACAGCAAAGTATTAG